ATGGCCCAACATACCTCAAGTTCGCTCAAGATAGCCTCCGACGCGCATCCAAGAGGCTCCAAAACGGCTCCACGGCGGTTTCAAGTGCCCCCCCGAGGCCCCCAGTGACACCCCGCCACCCCCGCTGGGCCAAAATGGATCCAAAACCTTTGGGGGGGGAGGAAACCATGCGTTTGGCCTTGGCGCTTTTTCGCTTCCAATGGGCTCTTGAGGCGTCAAGATGGCCCTGGGATGGCACAAGAGAGCCCCGATGCACGCCCAAGGCGGCCCCAAGAGAGCCCAATAACGCCCCGAAGCGCTCCAAGAGCGGCCCAGGCGGGGGCCCAAGATGGCATTCTTGAGCCCCCGAGAGGGCGATCCGAGTTGAAACCCACCTTCTTTCTGATATATATATATGTGTGTGGCCTAAGCCTAAGCCTAAGATGACCCCGCGAGGCCTCCTAACCTAAGACCCCCCAAAGAGCCCCAAGAGGGCCTCAAGACGCCCCGAAAGATCCAAGGGGGCCCCGAGAAGGCCCCACGCCCTACGGCCCTACGACTGCGAGAACCTCAAGAGAGCCCCGAGGGCTCCAGGAGCAAAGGGAACCACAAGAGTCACAAGAGGGCCCCCGCATGGCCCCAAGCTTCGAAACGCAAGCGGGTTTAAGACTCGGCTCGGCGCAAGAGCTAAGCAGCTAAGGACCGAGCCCCCCCCAAAAAAACAAAACAGAGGGATGCAATACTCCCAGAAAAGGAGCCCAAAGAAGGCACCGAGAAGGCCCCAAAAAGAGCCCAAGAGGGCCCCAGGATGGCACCAAACTGGCAGCCATCGAATCACCCCTCCCCCCTCATCGAAGCACCATCGTAGCTTGCACCGACTTCCATCTTAAACTTCAACGCGGGAAACAACAACTATTCGCGACCCTTGATTTCCCGAAGACGGCCGCGCGACTGCATGCGCCCAGCCGCCCCTGGTTCACCAACTCCCCTGCTGTTCGTTTCTGGATGGGCTGTGCGGTGGCCCACGGCTCCCATCGTACTGAGCTTTGGCCTGGAAGATGAAAGTGTGATATCTCGGTGCCTCGTCACCGAGTCTCGGTGTCTGCTGGGTCCCCCCTCCTTCCTGGGCCCGCCCTTCCTCGCCCTCCTCCCATCGCTCTCCTCCTGCCCACCTCCTCTTCCTCCTCCTCCTCCCCCCCCATCCTCATCATCAACACGTGGAGCTGAACGTGAGTAGATCGGTAGATTGATGCCCGAGCTAAGTTGGATCCTTGTCGCATCTCTGGAGAAGCCGATCCAACTCCTTCGTGTCGAGCTTGGCCAACGTGGCCTGGAAGTGCGTGAGGATGTCTGCGCCCACGGCCTTGGAGTCGAAGGTGGAGTGCCACAGCTGCTCGTTATCTGCGCCACCAGCCCACACTTTCAACTCCGACGTCGACTTGAGACCTCGCTCGCTCGAGGCCTTGCATCTCGGCCCAGCAAACTCTGACAGTACCTTTCTATCCGACCACCCCCTCTAGGCGCGTGTGGTTCCGGGAGCCTGCTCATTTCGAAACGCTTTCCTTCTGAGGCAGGGCAAAGTTTACCCCCCCCCCTGGATAAGGGAGGGGGGGGCAGGGCCGTGGGGGCCCCGCGGAATGTTCGAGCGCCCCCATGGGAGGACAAAGCGGCGACATCCCTCGCGAGGGTCGTGGGCCCGACGAGTGACCCGCCCCCGTTTGAATCGCAGGAGCCCCCCCGTAGATCCCCTAGATCCGAGATCCTCCAGCCTCCAGACCCACCAACAGAGAAGATCTCCTAGGTCCTCGGAGCGAGTCTGGAGCATCACAGGATCCCAGTATGCCCCGAAAGATCACATAACCATGGAAGGTTGCAGCGAAAAAGCAATCATGTCGCTTTCTCGCCCTTCCCCTTCCAATAGCGACCCGAGGCCTCGAGGTGACGCGCAAGGGCCTGCCTGGTTCCCCCCTCCCCCTCATCTCCTCCTGTCTCCACGTCCGCTGATCCCCCCTCCTGCTCATGTCGCCTCCTCTGCGTCTCTTGCGACTCCTCACCTCCCCCGCCGCCCTCCCCCCCACCTCCTGTCATCTCCGGCCTGTACCCAGAACGACTTCCAACAATCGCTCAAACGTTGCTCGTTTCTTACGGCGTAAGAAACGAGCAACGTTCGAACGGCTGCTTTAGGGTGGGACATCGCGAAGCGATTTCGATATGAATCGATGTGCGGGCTGATCGCACTGGCGAGCTTCGCGAAGGTCTCCTGGCCGACAGGCACGTCGGTGAACTCGGGCGGCTTCTCCATGAACGCCACCAGCTTCTTGTAGGCAGTCAGCATGACGCTCGCGATCTCGGTGCCCTTGCCCGTCGTGTCGGCCAGCGCGCCCGGCTGCTTGGAGTAGTCTAAGCAGACCGCGTTCGCCAACGAGATCTTCTGGCAGTCGGTGATCGCCTCCTTGGTGCGCTGCTGGCTCTCCCAGAACTCCCTCATTGACGTATCAGTCGACAGCACCATCTTGGCCATGTCGCCTACATCCCTGACCTGGGCCCACGGGGTGTCATCTTGGATCGCCCAAGCCAAAGACCGCCAAATCGCCGTGATAATCAAATCGGGCACACCTGAACCCTTGGCCATGTTGGTATGGCGCTTCAGGGCGTCGTAGAGGTTCTTAAAGTCGGTGTAGGTATGAATATCATGGCCGAGCGTATCCAGCAACATGACCTCAGAAGACCTCTGCATCCAAGCGTCGGACTGCTCCTGGATCCTCATCAGGGCAGTCTTCGCAACGGCCGACTTCTGCAAGGTCTTTGCCGCCTCAGTCAGGATGTCCACCCACTCCTTGTTAGAATCGCTGTAAGGCAAATTGGTCCACGCTGCATCGGGGCATGCGAACACCAAGATCTTAGCCAACAAGCGTTCTGTGCATAGGGTCGTGTTGGAGCGGAAGGAAGGCGACTGCCACTGATTGTGCCCCTCCATCCAAGCCTTAAGGAGGCCGATGATCGCGTCCCTCTGCTCGTCGACGTCCTTGCCAGCTAAGTCATGCGCCATGGTCGACACGTTGGCGTGCAACTGGACAAGGCCCACGCCTGTCGTGGACTCGGCCCCCACAACTCTCCGGAACTCGTCAATGCGACTGACCCACACGCCACTCTTGTTACGCAGACGCAAGCGCAACGCCTTCGCCGTGCGGCATGCATCGGCGACCTGATCCAAAGATTCAATCACTCCAGCCTCTATCTTGGCCTTAGCCTTCCGGGTGGGAGACACGAAATCGACGTCCTCAGCCGTGGAACCAGCCACGCAGGGAAACGAACAAGATACTGCAACGATGCCCCTGAGAACGCGCAGCATAGGAACCAACAG